AGTTTCCACCTGAAAATAAGGGACTAACGACTTGCTACCCCTCAATTGCCACCTGCCAAGCCTGATTTGATTGGTTAAATTGTCTATGTAAATGCAATACGCATGGTAGAAGTAAATATTCAGCTGTCGCCTAGTCCTACACACAACCTTTTCTCAATGTGAAAATTTGAAATCCGATAAAATCAGTCATCAATCCAAGACTTCTTAAAATACATTACTTGACAACCATCGCACCGTGCAATGCGCAACACTCGCCCTGCTGTAGTGGCCTGTAAAACGTGAGATCTCCCCCTAATTCCGTCACGAGAAGCGGTGCCGTTTGCGTGACTGCAGCCTGGCACCCACCTGGCAACCGACAAACCTGACCGGTTCACCGGAACCTGAAACACGTCGTCGCCTTTGTTTGGCCCACCTGTGCTGTCTGGGTGTGCTGCTACATTTGGCAGTGGCTCAGAGTTTTGACACGGCAGTCGGCGATGGGCGATGGCCAATTCAGGTCCAACCAAAACCGGCAGGGTCAGGGGTGGAGATCTGTCAAAATTTCAGGGGGGGGGGGTCCAGGCCGGGCAGATGGAGGCGGGCTGCATCCAGTACCATTGACTTACATAGCGGTAATTCGTTTTCAGCGGGGAGTCCTGACCCCCCGACCCCCCCGGGATCTCCCCCTCAGTAGGGTAGGGTAGATATGATGTAGCGATATGTTCAAGTTATCAAGTCAAATATGAAAATCGGTTTTTTCCTTATGGCAATTTGTTTTAGGGGACTAATTTACCCACGTGAGCTGATAAAATAGACGCCATAACCGAATAAACGGTCGATGCACAATATGAAAATCGTTCATCCCTCAATATTGGCAAAATAGTGCAGCCATTGACATCCTACAGACACAGTTCCAACTTCCATGATTTGCCCAAGATTCCTATATAGATTTGCCTAAGTAGACAGATCCAGGAAAGATCCCAGCCCAAGGCTTCCTCACAATAAATTTCTGAACTGACGCCACTTCTGGCGGTCCGTCAGTCTTGCCCCACCTTCTTGTTATATGACAGCGCTAAGCGAATAAGGAAATAAATTCCTACAATAATTAAAATTATCATTTACTATCGATTAAATGTGTGCGTTGTCTTATTACAGCGCATGTTACACGACAGCATGATTGGCTGACACGACTTTATTGAGCTCGGGCGAAAAGCAGTTTGCCGTGACCCGGATTCGAACCGGGGTTATCGCGGCCACAACGCGAGGTCCTAACCACTAGACTATCACGGCTTGCAGGGAACAGTCTCTAAACATGTAGCAATACAAATATGATTAGTCGTCTGAGTCCCAAGAGGTTTTTTACTTCATTTTACAACAATTGTAAATAAATATTAAATGAAAATCATTGTAATGACATACTTATGTCTCTATAACTAATATATAAAACTGCTAAACAGTAAACACATCTATCGTTAGATTCAACTCATGTGGAAGCTTTCTGAACTATTAGTATGCTATCTTGCCACCAGGTGTCTCTTCTGGTCAGGCTCAGGACGTGTCGGTTTCGATTTTAGGACTAAAGTACGTATCGCTTAAGTACGTAGGACAAAAGTACGTATGCAAATGTTCGTACGCAAATATACGTAGGCGATAAAGTTCGTATGCCAAAAGTACGTACGCAAATGTTCGTACGCAAAAGTACGTATGCAAAAGTACGTAGTGAATAAAGTACGTATGTCAAAAGTACGTACGCAAATGTTCGTACGCAAAAGTACGCATGAAAAAGTACGTAGTGCATAAAGTACGTATGCCAAAAGTACGTACGCAAATGTTCGTACGCAAAAGTACGTATGCAAAAGTACGTAGTGTAAAATGTACGTATGCCAAAAGTACGTACGCAAATGTTCGTACGCAAAAGTTCGTATGCAAAAGTACGTAGTGTATAAAGTACGTATGCCAAAAGTACGTACGCAAATGTTCGTACGCCAAAGTACGTATGCAAAAGTACGTAGTGTATAAAGTACGTATGCTAGAAGTAGGGTATAGTAGTGTAAGTTGAGCCACTTTTTCTTTATTGCTGCTCTGTTGCCATGCTACAGGGAACTCATGATAAATTCATATACCAAATAATATAGCTTTGTCCATTTCGCCCATTTACTCATCGAGAAATTTTGCTATGCCTTGTAACAAATGCTCATTAAATAAAGAATAAGAAAGGTATTACACATTGATCAACTTAACCCAAGGGTGGGGAACGTGCTTAATACCCTACGTACATTTGCTAAACGTACTTTTGTCCGTGACGTACTTTTGTCCACACGTAGGGTAGACCGGGGCAAGTCGCCCCGCCGCTCACCGATGTTTCTCGGAACTGGCAGGGTTCTGGGGAAAGATCCTCTCTTCTGTTAATCTAGTGTATGGGGATTCTTGCCTCAGGCCGTGGGGCGTTTTGCCATAGGGTTGGGGCAAAGTGCCCCATTTGCAGTTGCTTCACAAAGCACTTCCTAGCTGGGAGTCCGATCATAAGTGAATGAACTTGAGTCTTGAGGGGTGGAATTTAACCCTCGCCGGCACAGGGGGGAGATGCAACCCCCCCTAAGGTTTTTCGCGAATAACTCGCGTAAAAAGCGGCCGATCGCGACGAAACTTTCAGTACCCTCGCATTGATCAATTTTACACCTACCCTAAAAATTTCATGACCCTGACCCAAATGACCTCTGACCTGTGACCTCTTTTCCGAGACCATGTTTGGCCGGAATCGCGATTCGGCGTATGTCGGCTCACATTAGCCGCGCGTTTGCAAGCTTTTCGTGGTTTCAAACGTTCAAACATGTGATTTGATGCTGCTCCCATACATTAGGGTTAGTGTCAAGGTCACCTGAAGGTCAGGTCAGGTCATTGACCTTTGGTGACCTCGGGTGACCTCGGTTCACTTTTTCGAGTTTTACATGTTTCTAGGCTAGTTTTTGGAGCTGAATTCGAATTTAGCAACCATTTGAACATTTACGAAGTAGTTTTGGTGCCTTCGTAACATGTTACGAAGCTGTCAGAGGCGGTTGACACGTATTACGAACACCCGTCACAACAGACACAACCCCTGACGGTTGACCTGACCTGATCTGGCCCGACCTGGTCTGAATGCTTAAAGACATCATCTCTGATAAAAACTAACACGATATTCGTGATCAGTACCCCGGAAAACCACATAGCAGCCATACTTTACGACTTTCTAACAGGTCCCGATTTTTCCGGTTTTCGGGTCATTGACCTGACCTGGAAGGTCACCCGATGACCTAGGACCTTAAAATTGGGTATCATCGGCTTCCTCTCGTGACGGGCAGCACGCTCGTTTTTTTCCGCGAAGCTCTAGCTCGATCAGGGGCCAAACGCGAGGGGGATCGTACCAACCCCCCTTGTGCCGTAGAAGGACGCAAAATGGCCTGGACCGACGAGGGTTAAAGTAAAATGTCCAAAGAACACATTGAGCACAAATTTTGCCTTCCAGGTGATGTGAGACAAAAGAAGGTACCTATGTAGCAAAATAAATTATCTGGGGCGTCTTGCCCAAGGCTTTATACCCTACGTACATTTGCTATACGTAGGCTTTTGTACGTGACGTACCTACTTTTGTCCATACGTACTTTATACCCTACGTACTTCTGCGATACGTACTTTTGTCCGTGACGTACTTTTGTCCATACGTATTTTTTACCCTACGTACATTAGCTATACGTACTTGTGTCCGTGACGTACTTTTGTCCATACGTATTTTATACCCTACGTACTTCTGCGATACGTACTTTTGTCCCTGACGTACTTTTGTCCATACGTACTTTATACAGTACGTACTTCTGCGATACGTACTTTTGTCCCTGACGTACTTTTGTCCATACGTACTTTATACTGTACGTACTTCTGCGATACGTACTTTTGTCCTTGACGTACTTTTGTCCATACGTACTTTATATTGTACGTACTTCTGCGATGCGTATTTTTGTCCCAGACGTACTTTTGTCCATACGTACCTTATACTGTACGTACTTCTGCGATACGTACTTTAATCCTACGTACTTTTGCTTACGTACTTTTGTCCTACGTACTTTAGCGATACGTACTTTTGTCCGTAACCCGTCGGTTTCCGAAGCAATGTAAACACTCGGGTTGGACGCAGGAGCCAAGCTTCTACGCGCCCTAACCCAGAACAACGTAAACACTCGGCTCCTTTCGCTGGATTCTACCTATCAGTATCCTCTAGGCTCTAAACATGATTTAACAATCTCCAGAAAGGAGAGAGGACCAACGTATGCCCCTCGAGCTCGATCGAGATGCAGCCACTAGCGGCGGAACACCTTCAATTAAAGGGGGGCACTGTCGACTTTGGTCCCATTCTTCCCATGCAACGCCCATAGGGCTAATGCCAAAATCAAAGGGGGGCACGGTGCCCCGGTGCCCTCCCCGTTCCGCCGCCTATGGATGCAGCGGTCAAAATGCTGAGTTATTTATGGGCCATGGCCGCATGCATGTGCTAGGGGGAGGTGGAATGAACAAGCAGTGCACAAGTAGGAAGTTAAGGATGCACTGCACTCCGGAGTCCGGAATTCAATATGCATAACGCATAATGTCAATTCTAGAATATCTATCTGGCTCAAGCTCTGCCAGTCCAGTCTGAGAGATAAAAGAGGCGTCGATCGAATTTCGTTAAAAATGCCTTTTCGGGGAAACGTTCACTTTCAAAAAGCAGAAACAGATCATAAACGGGCCGGATTTCAAATAGACGTTTCACTTGCTCAATGTTATTAAGCGCACAAACTCATGACAACTTGTCCACATTAATACCAGACAAACGGATCACCTCCCCCCTCCCCCCCCACCCCCAACCCCACCACAAACAACAGACCACCACCACCACCACCGTGTCCGTCGGACACCCTCGCGCGGCGTCGCCCTCGCCGGTCACGTGCTAGCCCCGGGGCCGACGGCGGCGGAGCTCAGGTGTCGGTGCCGACGCGGCTCGCCAGTCGGTGCCGACGCGGCTCACCAAAGGGTGGTGTCGGAGGGTGCGGGCCATGTGACGGCGGAGGAGTGGAGCTCATAGAGAGAGAGAGAGCGGCCAGAGGTGGAGGCGGGCAAGGAAGACAGGTGGGTTGGTGTGGGGTGTTGGCTGGTGATTCGCGTATGCTATGTTGAAGTTTGAATGTACTTACCTATTGTCTAATCAATTGATCGCATTAACTTATGGATAGTGTCGTGATTATTATTATTGGTAAATATTGGATAATGAGATGCGCTACGGCACATTTCATTACACATATCTCGACATTTGTACGGTAAAGAAACTTGGCTTGCTATTGCCCGTACTAATTCAGCTCATGCGAATTGTCTAATCAATGGTGCACTGTTATTTTCCCCTACAGAACGACGGATCGGAAGGTCCATTATATGATAGTCCTAATTTTCATCGTGCCTGATTCAAGTAAATATCTGTATCATCAGTGACAATTAATTCCAATAAAAATTTGCACATTTTAATTTCCAGAGCACACCTTGCTTTATTTTCACCGTCTGTACCTCACTCTTAATCACAGTTCCTTGTGTCGTTTAGCGCACGATAATCCCTTCCCATCCCTTCAAATCAATGGGATTCAGCACTGTTGTTTCCAACTTATGGTATGCTTGATGGCCCGTAAGTTGTAGGTACCTCACGAAAGGGTCGTCGAAGCTAAATGTGCTGTGAGGGATTAGTGTGCTATTGTGATATAATTAAAATGTGACGTGACATGATATCAGATTTTTACCATAGCATTGACTCTTGAATTTCACTTGCAAGTTTTTCAGCTCATTTCACAGGCACAGACGCAAAAGAACACCTTCACCCACGCATACAAACGAAAGCACGTCCCAGTCACGAGCCTCAACAATCCATGGGCAGTCGGTGATTTGTTTCGTCCCGATTTGCATACCTCGAGCTGCGCGCACAGCCAGGTGGCACGGAGCCAGGTTTGGGTTGGCCTAGCCTGCACTGCTGCAGGGCTGTGCAACTGTGCAACTGTGGGGGGCTGCCGACAATCGGTACGTGCTCCGGGTCACTGGGTATCGCGAGAACATAGCCATGGGAGCTGGTCAGTAAAAAACAAAGCTAGGAAATGATGTTTGTATTTGTTAGCAATGTACAACACTCGTTCTTTTGCGTTTCAAATGTTCGACACACAGTCGCGAGCATAATCACAGTTCTTCGCATTGGGAAAGCTTTAGTCGTCGAGACTTAGTTTCTGTCCTTTGTGAATTACAGCATAATGCCAATGAGACTTCTGAAAGCTTCTAGAAATGTGCTACACTATGGCAAGTCGCTGCCGAAGCAGAGGCAATATTTGATCGCTCGGCAGCCAAACAACGAGCCAGAATACGGAAGCAGCAGAGAGGAAAAACAAGGAACGGAGCTGGTTTTAAAAGCGAATTCAATTTCACTACAGCAGTAACATGAAGTCACAGCAAAGCGCTCAAATAAAAAACATACTTGAAGCTAAAAACGTTTGCAACCAAATTACAAGATAAGTCCATCCGATAAGTCATCAAAATGCTTAAATGCGCTGCGAAATAACTTGCAATCGCCATCACCATTCTTGCCCCAACAAGCTTTCAACCCAGTTTACCTGTAGAATAAGCAGTGGCGTCGATAGCAGTTGATCGATGTGCCGCCCTGGCATTGCCAGCATGCGTCCTGTATGTATGTTCGATTTGTCATCGATCGCATGTTTATTCATGAGTCGGTTCCCAGCGCAATGGTGACGAATGACGAACAACATTACGAACATTCGAGACGGACACTGAACAATGCAGTACGCGCAGCGTGTTTCAAAACAATTAGAAACACGGATTACATTTAGGCCTCCAACATTTTATGATACCGGAAGTTTTATCGGAATAATTATTATGAAACAAAAATATCGTTCGTAAGGCATTCCGAAAATTGTGTTAAATGCTTTTTATCTAATTGGAAACTTTTTAGCCAAGCGGCAGCATTTTACTAAAAAAAAAAAAACGTGTAATCTACCTGTTAGTGTTAGCTATATCTTAAAGTTGTTACCCTTTAGTTCAATCGACAGAAATTCTCAAAGAAATCGCGATTTGTATTTCGTGTATTCAGTTCCTCAGTGAAAAAGAATCTGTTCTTCCGGTGGTTTCGAATCGGCTCCTTAATCACGCACCCGCGTCCCTAGAAGGCTGAGTGGTGTTACATCAGTCTGAGATCTGGTCCGGGAGGAGCTCCCAGCCAGATAAGGTGAGTTCTGACGGATCAGCTCAGCGATTGGGTCTGACACCGGACGGATTAGGTGTTCCGAGGTGACGTATTTGGCGGTTAGATGCGCTGGATCGTGAATCTAGTGGAGGAATGAAGTCCAGGTAAGGGAAGGGATCAAGACTGGATATGTACTTACCCGACTCTAATGCAGGCCCGTTTCTATAAGGACGGATTTGAAAGGCACACGGCTGCTCTCAGTGGTTACTAGTGATGTCAATTAC